AATGTTATTCATGTTCTTCTCAATGACTCATTCTGATGTTTTTCCAGACCATGAATACCAAAATAAACCATTGCCTAGAACTTGTCGAGCTTCTGTCACAYCATTTGAGTGACAAACATCACATCAGACTGGAATGGATGATCATCGTGTTGATTATGGTTGAGGTTGGCTTTGAAATCATTCACTATGCTCAGTTGTTCATCAAATGAGCTACTTCAGCACGGGTTTCTTTACAATCTTTAAAAAATTATTGTTTTCCTCTAAATGTTTGAATTTTTCAAACAGTTATATATTCTTAAGTTTAGTATCATATAAAATTAAGTTGATTATTATTATGCCTTGTGAAATAWATTGATGAGTTATAGACTATTTGTTTTGGTATTGAATAAACAAGCAAACAAACCTTTAGTCAAAACATAATATTTGATCTCTAAACTGTASCTGATATAAACATGTTAAATAATAATGTTTTTGACAGAATTAACAAMAAATTGTATGCCAAAGCAGTGTCATTCACCTAAACACATAACTGTTTTATTTCATAAAAATACATAACATAATCTTTAATAATAAAAATAAAACAATTACCAACACAATATAAATCACTTAACACAAAAAGATGTTTACATTTAAAATTAAAGAATATACATATATAAAATAGATACTCATAAATTATCAAATAAMAAATCGTCAAATTTTTACAAAACATTTTACACATTAATAAAAGTCAAAAATATAAAACATTGCACAGAATTTAGATGATATCTATTGTTGTTACCAAAATCTTAAGCCATTAACTATTAAGGCGGTAATGAAAATGAAACTACATAACGATACAACTAAATAAAAAAACTTAAAATCATTCATTTTTTTTTAGAGAGAACAGTTTAAAAACAAATACATCTATGGTGCAAAAATAAGTAAAATTACACAAAGTAAAAAGATATTTAGTCACTAAATAAGTCATATAAAATTTAAACGTAAAAACAAAGGTATAATTAACTTACCAAACTGATTTCTTTCTTCTATGATCCTGCAACAAACAAATAATCAGATACACAATTAGTCAATTTTTTTCTTTTGCACTTAGATATTTGTTTTTCTTATATCATTGATATTTTAAATGTTAAAGGTATTATTATTTTTCTCTAAGTAGTATCATAATAAATACAATAGATAACTTTATGTTTTTAAATGGTTTCCTTTTCATTTATTTGGATATGAAATTAAACCACAAACAATTTTGTCTGAAAACATTTGTGTACTTTATTCAAGTACTATAAACAACTATAAACAATTAAAACTACTAACATTAAATATTTTTATATAGTTTTTGAAAAATTTACTTTTAAATAATTAATTTAAAATGTTTTAATTTATTAATACATATAAATATAATTGTATTTAT